AGTCTATATTAGGCTTCTGAGAAACAGTAATTTTCAGAGGCTCAATCTGCTATCCTCAGAAATGTCCTCTATAGTTCACAGCCTTGAAAAAGAAAGCAGAGCAATGAATGGCAGCTTGTTTACTGAATGAGACTTGCTCAAGAAAGAAATATTTCCCGTGGGTTAGGATTGAGCTAGAGAAACTGTCTACTCTGTGTCCTGGAGTCAGTTAAAGGAGAGCACATGCTGTCAGCCTCAGAGTTCTAAGGGTGGGTCTTACGTGGCTATTATTGAAGATGTTCAGTGATTACCACTACATGCTTGTTAAGCACCCCTTTCAAATTAACTCCCTTTCTAAGAAAATATTTGTCAATAAAAGCCTTGCAGCAATACTGCAGGTATACTGACTGTGCCTAGGGATTTGCCTGAATCCCTTCTGAGGAGATTCATTGAATACTACCTTTAAAATTGCGTCAGTGAGGTCCTTGAGCCCAACTCCCAGTCTCCTTGTGATTGAATGAGGAAGAAAAGACAGAAAGTCTAGCATGTGTCCTATTTATTAGGTGAGCTATGGAGGAGATGCATGAAGGAAGACCTCCTTATGCACATGATTAGGAGAAACAGCCTGTTTCTCAAGTGAAAAATATCTACATAAAGTGATGTCATGAGTCACACGTAGTTAAAACGTGCTGAGAAAAATACTGCTTTCCATATTGTAGCTACCTTAGTCACTCTTAGCAATCTGAGGTTAGATCAAGTGGAGTGTGTGCAAGCTGTCACATGTCATGATGGCTTGTGGAAGGGAAGCTTTGGCATGGTCAGTATTTCTGGCCTGCTTGTGGAGGATCCTTTTTGCTAACTTGAGAACCTAATATGTTATAGGAGCTGAGAAATTATGTGATTTCCAAAGGGAAATAGATTAGTTCATTCCAAGTTCTAAAAAGAGCAGGTTTCCGGACAGATGAGGAAGACTTTAAGTATTTCTTGATGACTCCTTTAGTTACAGAGAATTACTAAATTAAATAATCTGGGGTCTCCTATGTATAGCAGATTCTGATAAAGCATTCACTTCGAACTTGGTATCATCTTATCTCCTCCATCAGATTTTAGCATCTAACTGAGAGGGGAAAGGTTAAGGTGGTTTTTTGTTTTTAGTTTTTTTTTTTCAAAATACAGCTAGAGATAGATGTTGGAACTTTGAGTGGAGTCACAGAAGCTCTCCAGAGAAAACCTTGGTTCCACCTTCTAGCCAGACAAGCACATATAGATGCTTCTCTAAACACACATGCATCTCACAGGTGGCCTTTCAGTGCTTAACTCTTGATTTTTTCACATCGTAGCTGCTGAGCATTTTCAGGGTGATCCCCCTCCATCTTCCCCTGTCATTTCGTTCCTTCTTCATATTCTCTGTCTGCAAGAGAGCTCTGTATTTTAAATATTTTAGACTCGGGAGCAGTAAATGTTTTCAGGCCTTGGATAACACTACCACTGCTAAGACATGAAGAGTTTAAAACATCTGTGATGCCAAACTTCAAGAAAAAGGAAAAGAAAAAAATAGCAAAGCATTGTTTGTCAGACTGTCACTAAACATTGTCACTCAAAATCAGTCCCATTTGTATACAAAAACTTCTATTGCAGAGTCGGGAAAAGAAAAGCATAAGATTTTTCTAAAAGAAAAAGAGATCATCTTTTTGAGCTACAGAATAGAATCTTTTAAATTACTCCCTGGGAAGGTTTGTAGGAAAAATAAATAACTCTTGAGGAAAATAGCAATGCCTATTATGGGGCCATTATTAAGGTTTCAAAACAGAGAGGAATACTGAAGTGCTCATTTTAAGCACTGATTGTCATCCAGAGATGTATTTTGAACACAGGATTGGCATGTTTCAATGAAGGTCAAGGAAATTTGCGTTTGCATGGGTCAAATAAATCAGTCAGGCTTTTCCAAACTTTCTGCTGATACATCTTGTGCTTCCCTGTTTCATGATTGGCTGTATGAGTGAGGGAGTGATGACAGCGAAGGCCACATCTCTCTTCTTGGCTCATTTTCCTCATATTTCCAAAGCCTTCACCTTCCTTGGAAGTACAGGGGACCAAAAAGTGCTATGGCTACCATACCTGGTGGGAAATCGATGTAATGGAACTTGTGAACTTCTTTATCTACTTAGGATGAAAGAGTGAAGATGTGTGTGCCAAATTTCTAAAGCCTAATTATTGCTGCTGTGAAATCAACATGACACAATAAAATACATAGCCCATTCCTAAGAATGGGACCCTCTGCCCCTTCTCTTCTCATTAGTGGTGACCTTACTTACAATTGTATTCAAAGGCAAACTTTATGGAAGACTCAAAGTCATCTTCTGTTGCCATAATCAGAGCAATTCAGTGCATGACTAAAATTGGTGTTACGAGGCAGTAGTAATGAAGTTTGACTTCACAAGAGGAAATTACGAATTTCTTAGAATTCCTTGAGGTGGAAAATAAGCATGGAGACAAAGGAAAACCCATAGATGCATTCTACAAAGTCTTGAAAAAGCACTTTTGAAAATGTTCCACACCAAGAGTTGCTAATAAATGTAAATGCTATATTCCTAGGGTGAAGGAGTATTCTTTTTATCTCAGAAAAGGAGCTTGCTTAAGACAGAAAAAAATGTTCAAAAACATAGGGTCGTTTCTTGTCTAGAAAGAATATATAAGGGGAAAGAGATAGAGTTCCCTGGGGTTAATTTTATAATGGGTTATGTTTAACATGCTCATTGCATGGAGTGTATGAGCAGTGGGAGTCCACTGACAAGGCTCCCTACTAAACATTTATTTTAGTAGGTCTCAGGTGTGACTCAGGAGCCTATATTTAAACAGCTTTTTCAGTATTGAGATTGAACCAGGTCCTGGAACATGCTAGACAAGTGCTGTAACATTGAACTATGTCCCCAGCCCTTTTTATTTTGGGATAGGGCCTCACTATGTTGACCAGGAAACCCTGCAAATTTTGATCCTTCTAGGTAGTTGAGTGTGTGTCACCAGCCCTGGCTTATTTTTAAATCTTGATGGACGCAATTATAACTAATTCCTCTTATGCCAGGTAGTCAACTGCCCTTTCTTCTAATGGTCTTGCTATATATTACTGTCCCCAGTGCATAGGTTAGGATACTGAAGTACGGAGTAGTCAGTGATTTCTTCAAAACCACAGTGAGTGGGCAGAGCTACAAGTGCATGGCATCAAATTGTTCTTGTACCTGTTCTTGTAGGAGAAGACAGTCATTGATAATGCTTCACTAAAAATGCTCTTTCAGTTTACAGCTCCTCCAAAAACACCTTGAGGACCATGACTTCTACTGAATGTAGTCCTCCAGGGTTTGATTTATTAATCTTTACAAAAGTATTTGTTACCCTTCCGTGGCTGTTTATTTTTAGGAATTGGCAGCCCATCCTTAAGATGGCATGGTTTTCTTCTCTGTTGCTAGTCAGGAATCCATTCTCTTCATTCTTTTCCTGTGTGTGGGGAGGTGGGGTGTGTGTGGGTGTGGGTGTGGGTGTGAATGTGTTCATAAAGATTCAGGCAATGTCACAGAAGCTTAGTAAACAGAAATAATGGAACAAATGAATGAAATTGTGAAGTTATGTTTTAAAGGAGTACTTCTATTTTCAAAGGAGAAAAACACAAACAAATCAAATGTTCGGGGAGTGGATGTAATGTTAGGGGACCAGACAGAACAAAACTGTCCTTATTTCTTTTTTAACAAGGATTGTCTCTCCCAGTGATAATAGGGAGCAAGTGTAGATACAGGGAATAGAGACTAATCTTACTTCAAGATGGCTTTAATCAAAGGAATCAAGTTTGTGCCATGTTCTTCTTAGAGATAGCTATGAGCTACCAGAAAGGGTCAAAACTTTAAGGATTTCTATTCATCAGTGACTCTATGTTGCTGTATAACTAACCATGCTGCCGGTTGTTGTATAAGTGTTTCATTTGGGTATCTTTTCTTACCAACAAAATTAGATGTATATAAAGAACACAAGAAGGGCTTTTGCTCTTCTCTTTCCTCTAAAGCCCAAAACAGGTCTGAGCATTGAGAATTGAACTGGATATAGTAAATTAATTTCTCTTTAACTTAGCCATTGCCATCCTTGTGACCTAAAAAGCGATGTGCCACATGCTGTTCTTCAATTGAAAATTGCAACTATTTTTCAGTTAATTAAGTTAGATCAAACAAATCACAATCTGTATATCACATATTACCTCTGTATAAATATCCTTTCAGAAGTGCAAGTCTTGCTCTCAGCTTTACCTGAGAATAATCATATTATTGTAGCCATCAAATGAGGTTAGCTATCAAAAATGATGGGTGCAATATTCAGAAGGAATTACTCATTAAAATAAAGAAATAAAAGCCTAAGCCTGGTCCAAACACAACACCTTTGCATGCTGTGGACATCATTTTTACGTGGATATCACAAATTCCCCCAAAGCACCACACACCTTTTGCATTATACTTCGCAGTAGTTGAGCCCTGTGTAGCATAAGAAAAAGCAAAGCAGAAACAAAACTCCTTCTGATGCATTTGGTAACTTCTCAAACAAACAATCTGAGTAGTTCAGCATGAGTATATATTTACTACGAAGCTTAGCACATTAATTCTAACATTTCCCCACCTGGCAAAACTGGGTGTAAGTGTCTTCTGAAATCAACAAGCAACACTGCCTGTGTCCCATGGTGGCACCTTTGTAGCCCACGCATACCCGCAGGGATGGGACAGAGGGGTGGTGCTGGAGGTGGCGATGACCTGGGTGCTGATGTAGACCTCGCAGGGGGAGAGTTGGGCTCTGGGGCTTCACATGGAGAGAAGCAGACAAGAGCCAGGAGAAAAGGCTGTCATGTTGGCTCGCAAGAGCCGCCGAATCAGAGAGCAGACCGGGTCTCATTGGAGGAGCTCCTTCTACGGCACCTAACCCTGTCATACTGAAAGAAAACTGTAAATGTTCTCTCCAGAAATTGTCCGCCCATTGCAGCTAATCGAACACACACGCACCAACACGGACCTGCTCTCCTGCTATTGCCCGAGGCGCCTGGGCGCAGAGACCAGCTCCAGAGAGCGCACACGGAAACACACACACACACACACACACACACACACACACACACACACGCACACTCCGGGCCTGCTGGTGGCCTGAGCTTGGAAGTCACAGATTCCCTAGGAAATCGCCATCGGCACTGGAATTAGTGTTCCTCGCCCTACACTAATTACAACTTCTCGGCACTTTGGTGAAAGCGATGAATCCCGCCCAGCTCAGCGCTGCCTCCAGGTCTCCGTTCTATTTTGGTCTCCAAGCTCCTCTGCGGGAAAGCCAGGTTTGAAAGTCTTATTTGCTTCTCCTTCGTAGTTTGGCATGGGGGCCGGGAGAGATTAGTTCATTCGAACTCCGAGATCCACCGCGACCGGTCCCAGACCCGACCAGCGCCGGTACCGGTGCCGGGTGTGCGACTCTGCCGGCGCGAGAGCCCCGCAGCCCTCTCTGAGCTTCTGAGTCCCGCGTCGTCTCCCCGCCTCTCCCGCCCCACCCCTCTAGTGTCTCGGCGCCAACTAATTTTCTCCTTTTCTCTTGCAAGATCAAGAGAGAAAGCAAGCCAGCGCCTGGCTTCGGACTCTAAGCTGTGCGCAGCTCGAGCGCGGGTGGGTCGACCCCGAACCCGCGTAGGGCTCCTCGCTCGGCCAGTATCCACCGAACCGCAGCCAGGGGCGGAACCCGAGTTAACACAGAGGCAGGTAAGGGCGCCGCGCTGCCCACTTCTTCTCTTGCCCACGCCGGAGTCCCTGTCCGCCGGGCTCCTCCTGGCGCAGAGGTCTGGGTTTGGGGGAATTGGAGGGGATCCCCCACAAGTGAGATTTCCTAAAGGAAACTTTCGCTTCTGGGGCTTGGAGGGCTGAGGGCGGCGGTGGTGGGTTTGGGGAAATGAAGAAACAGCGTGGGGCGTGGGCGCGATCACGCGGGTCAGTGTGTCCGGCAGCATGTGCAGCAAGCAGCTAGCTCCAGCCTCGCCCCCTGCTGCAGAGTGACACCCCCTCCGCTGACCCCAGCCCCTGTCTGTGGCCGCCCTTCCCAGATACCCTCCTGGGAAAGACAGGAGAGCTTTGCTTCTCGCCCCTCGAGCTCCTGAGGTCTGGCCGTGTCGTCTCTCTTAGGGGTGGAGGCCCTGATCGTCCCCGTTCTGCACAGTCCCCGACTGAGCCTTTGAGCAGCCCCTCAGTGCTGGAGGGAGCTTTAGTGATGTGCCCCAGGGCCTCGGGAAAGATTGCTGGGGTGAATAAAAATGGGGAAAGGTTTCCAGGACGAAAGCGAGAGAAGCCTTCCTTAGGCGACTCTATAGTGTATCTACAGAGTGCACCAGGCTGGTATCTACCGAAGCCGGGAATAGGGCTCCAGCCTGAGCCGCTTTGGACCCTGAGGGCAGCTTTGTCATGAAACCAGTGTGGGTCCTGAACCACCTCGGGGTGCTATGGGGCCCTACACAGGAGATACCTGAGCCTCAAATGTCTTCCGAGGTCCACACTTGCAAATCTGAGCAATCGCAGCTAACTTGTGGCTCGCAGGACCCGCGAGGTGCTGTCCAAGCCCTGCGGCTCACAGAAGACCTAGAGATTCCACCTGTGCGCTCTGCCTGGCGCCCCTAGGGTGCCCCCTGCGAGTCTAGGGAGCTCACTTAGCACAGCGCTGGAGGGCTGAAAATTCTCTCAAATTACTGGCCCAGAGCGGGGCTCACACACACTCCCCTTGTGCCTTCGGCTCCTTTTCCCTTCTGTGCGTCGTGCCTGCCCTTCGCTGTCCTGGAGGCTGCCCTGGGCCACGGAGCTCGTCCAAGGGAGGCTCGACTGACCCTTGGCTGTAAGCCCAAGGATCTTGCATGTGTGAAACTGTCCGCGGAGCGCAGAGGCAGGAAGAAGGGAGCCGGGACATGGAGGTAAACGCAGAGCACAAGCAGACCTGCCCACGGACCTATCACCCAAGCCGCCCTCTGGTGTCCTTATGTCGGTTCACAGCCACAGCAGCAAGTCTGTGACTGCAGCCGCCGGGCCCCAAGTCTGCCCTCCCGCCCGCTCCCGACTAGACCGCGATGGCGCGTTGCCTCTGCTCCTCACGCTCCGGAGTCCTCGGCGCTGACTTTCTATTTTTCTGTCCTCTCGTCTTTATTGTTTTGCTTTGATTTTTTTTTTTTTTTTTTTTTTTTTTTTTTTTGCTCTTTTCTTAGTGCTGGAAGGCAGTGGGTACGTAGCAACCTCTGGCGAGTCCGTTCCCTGGTACACGCAGCCAGAGAGAAGAGCACTTTCCCCACGCTGTGCCACACAGCCGCCTGCGCTCCAGCGCGCAGCACCGCCGGAGGGGGTACACAGCCTAGATCCTGAGGGAAACCCGGGGCGACCGGGAAGGCCTCCAGAATAAGTGAATCTGGAGTGGGGGTCTAAAGAGGGACTCTCTGAGGCTCCAGCAGTGCGGGACATAGAGGGCACTGAGACTGCAGTGCTCTGGCTGAGGTCCCCACCCTGCCCAACCTAATGTCCCTGTCAGAGCCACCCAGGGAAGTCCATGACCCAGTGTGGGGCTGGTGCAGCCTATCCCTTCTCTCTTTGCAATTCTGTCTTCCCGGGATGGCGGAGAGCTAGAAGACAAGCAGTTTAAGAATTCTAGGTTAATGAACTCTAGACTGTGCTGCAAAGGCCCTTGTACCTTATTTGCTAGCAATTGGTATATACACATACATCATCTTGATAACTTTATGGCTCTAGATATGCATAATAGCAGGTACAAGTTTTCATTGCTAAACAAATGACAGGAGCATTGGTACACTGAAGTAGAAACCACTGACAGTTAGGCCTACCTTTGCCATCTCTCTGGGATAGCATCAGAAGCCCTGAGGACTGCAGAGCCAAAGCAGTTGATAAGGCCAGGAGACCATTTCATCTGCATGGTATTAGGCTACAGCTGAGCAATCAGACTTATGAGAGACTTTGGTCAAGTCGGTGGAAGAATTCTGTGCCGTTCCAGTTTGGAAATGCGACAACCAGGCATTGACTGTATTGATACTGGGGTAAATAATCATGCCAACCAGAACTTAAAAATACAGCTCAACTCCCACAAAGGCAGGCAAGATTCAGCCAAGTTGTTTTATCATTGTAAAGCTCTGTGAGTGAGGTAGAGTGGGGATTTGGGCAGGCTTAGGACCCAACGTTCAGAGTGAGCTGCCTGACAGATGTGTTGTCTTCTTGAACAAGAAATAGATGTTTGTATATCTAAGTGTGCCTGAGGGTGCCTGGAGGGAGTTGGAGTCAGAAAACATGGATTGGGCATCCCTATCACAGTTCAACCCGAGAGTGCACAAAAAAACATGCGAGAAGCTCTGTGCTCACTCCTGTGTCAGATGTGCAAGAGATTAGCAGTGCAAACACAGGCAAAGACCCTTTTGGAGTGAGTTTGCAGAACCTCTCAGTTTGGCGGGGGCTGGATATTTCTGCCTTTGTGTTAGAAACACACGAACAAAACCCACACTACCCTAAATGCACCCCTAGTTCCTTCCTTGCCAGAGAGTCTGCAGTCTATGCAGCTGGATGCATTCAAGAGCCCTGGTTTTCCAATCCCAGCACTGCCAGCCCCCAGGTCAAGGGCACAAGGAGAATACACAACCTCACAGGCAGGAAGAGAAGCACTCAGGGTCTGGCCTGCTAGCTGGTGGCTGGGGACTGAAAGTGTGGCTTCAAATTGTCACTGACCTACAGCAATGACTTAAGTTAAATGAGTGCAGAAAAGAAAAAGAAGAATCAAGGTACAGTGAGGGGGGAAATGAACATGGAATGAGTTTAAGAAAAAAATAAAAAGAGAAATCGCTGAGGGCAAGAATCGTACATGGCTGGGTCCACAGATGGCTGCTATGATTAGGGTGTAAGAAAATGCCCTTCAGTGATTTCCTGCGCAAGACCCCCTAAGTCCCACTCCTAATCCTATCTTTAAAAAATCTCTTCCTTTTCAGAAGTGAAATATAAGCTGCCTTTTCTTATGGTTTCCCCAGTGACTGGTTTTCTCTGTTGACAGAGATTTGTCATTTTAGGACATGGGCTGCCTGTGTCACTTTCCTCAGATGGACCCTTCCTATGAAAGACTGTCTCTCTTGTCCTGTGGCAGTTGACAGTTGTCTTCTGTTCCTCATCGTCTATCCCTACTCGGCTTCCCTTTGGTTCACGGAGCAGATGCTTGTGCTCCTTTCTCCAAGGGTCAGCAATGAATCACCCCAGCCACGCTGGATCTGGTGTGGTGATGGTCTGTGTTTTGTGTGGGCTGAGGGCAGCTGGCCACCTCTCAAGGGACATGTATTCTACAAGTCTTCAGTCTCCGGCAGCATCCAAGCAACCAACACGTATTATAGTATCTACTACTTTATTTGGTGCTTCATCCTCTCAATTGAAGGCAGTAGCAATGTAGCCTCAGAACTTACTAAATCTTGGTGGAATGGATAAATAGATGATCCCATTTTCTCATTTTCTTATTGCTACTATCCTATGAAGTAAAGGCTCTTTTCCTGATTTTACAGAAGAGGAAGCCAGCATGCAGAAGGGTCCAGTAATGGCCCATGGTCATTTGGTCATACAACGGCTAGGAACGTAGTTTGCTGGACTCCAGAGTCCTTGGTCTTGATGCTTGTGTGTTATCTATAGATAGTTGTATCATTTGTTTCCCTATATTTAGGGAAAGCAAAACTGTGTTATTCAGAGTTCAGTGATGTCTGCTCCAACTGTTTAATTCAATTAGATTTCCAGGCAACAAAACATGCTCAATCCATGCGGCCAGTGATACCCCAGCAGAGGAGGACAGGGGGCCCCAAATAACATTCTGAGAAGTGTCATTTCTATCTCTCATCTCTCCTGAGATCTTACTAGGGAGATTTTCTTGTGCCCAAGGTAGAGTGAAGGGGAGTTTTGATATTATCCACGTCTACTCACGGTAAGTGTTGAAGTGGATAAGCAGGCTTCCCAAAGTGACACAGCAAAATAACACATCCAGGCCAACTTCTCGTTGATCTTTCCTGTGCTGTGCTGAAGTCTCCCTTACTATTGTTGGCACTGAAAGTGCTGAGTTTTTATGGATCCATTGAATTTTAGTCGCAATGGGTTGTCCACCTCTGCTCTGAAAGGCATGATGTGGCTTTGTGGGTTGCTGTGGACCAAAATGTGGTAGATTCTGCTTGGCTTACTCCTGCTATGCTGCATTTTTTTACTTCCATTTCTTCTTTTTTTGGCACATGTGCCATCTCCTTTTATACTATGACCTAAATATACAATCATCTTAACTGGTGCTGTTACCATGGTAATGTTTCATGGTAGATAAGGGTACACACTGAAAAATCGTTTTCTCCCCCTCCCCATTAGCAATGGAATTCTCTCCCCTACCCTTCAGCCTGTATCCAAGTTTTCACTGACTGGCGCCCTCTGGTGTTCACTAGGGAGAAAAAGCCTGGTTGAATAGGACAAGATCTTGATTTTTTAGGGTGGGGGGGGGTTCTATTTCGATTACAGTTTAGAATGAATATAAATTAGACAGATTTTTTTCTTGATATAATTAAAGTAAAGAAATTAGAAGAAGATATTTGTTGTCTTGGGCATTTAAAAATCCTGTTTATTTATGCAAAGTTCTAAAAAGTTACAGCAAAGGGAGGGATATTGCTTTCTTTCCATGCTTAATATTGTTGTGATAGTGTTCTCATGGGAGAGAGACAAAAGGA